CCCAGGTACGTTCCCGGCCCACCACAGCTTTTCCTTCCTGCTTTCGACGACAGCGCCCTGCACTCCCATCTGATCATCGTGTTGGGATGTGGTCGCGACGTGAAATTCCCCTTTCCAAGGCTTTCTCGATTGAAGACAGCTGGCGATCATGGGCTTCAGTGAGTGACCAAGCCTCACAGCAACGCAATATTGTCAGTAGGACGATAGAATTGAAGAGATTTGGGCGTGAATTTGTTTCCTGATATTGCGAAGAGGAGGGGATTAATGGAATCGAATTGGCGCCAACCGGCCCTCGTTCTTCATCGAACCTCTCAAGCCTCAACATGCCGCCTGTTGATCACTTGGCCCGGGCAATGTATTTATCTACTTCTGTGGTCTTGTCGTCGTTTAACATCACCTGGGCATTCGGCAGGGCATGTAATCGCACCATCGCCGTCTTTAGCCGATTGATTCGCAGACAGTCCAACTAATGTACCGCCTCTCTCCAGCTCTCGAGCATGTAGTTGACTGGCGTTTTCCGTGAACGGAACCACGTCATCACCGAACCCTGGGTGGCTGAGCCGTTCGGCATTGATCATCGAATCACACCCTTCCAGTTCATCCTCCTTTGAAACATTATTTCCAAACAGGCAGGAAAGAGTTTGGTGGAAATAGAGTCCCTTTCTTTACGCTCTTCTGTATGCGGGAATCACGAGGATGATGTCGAACAGCGTGATGGACGTGAGCCAGCCAGAGCATGCTTCCTTAGCAGTATCGTCAGGCACCCCGGTGCCTTCAGCTGCAGCTGTGAATCAGAGAATGGGCTACACTTCTGATGACCTGTCGAAAATCACGTAGATCAAATAGTGCAAAGAATGAAAACGTACAAATGTTGAAAACGGGGGTAATTAATTCAATCAACAGTCTACTGTATGCACAAATGCTCTTCGCCTTCAACCCGACTCAAAACGATTGCACGATCTCGGGAACGTGCGAAATTACGGTCATCTTGACTCTTTCTTGAGTTTCGGGCAGAAAACGAACGTATGGAACGCTGAAGAACATGCATAAATCTCAACCTCAAGTCCCTGTGAGGATACGTAGTTGATTACTTAAACAGTAAAGTAGCACGGTGCGGTCTGCACCCTGACCTGACGGACAAAATATACACCTGTCACGATGCGGTGCCTCAAATACCAGGTATGTTGCTTAGTTTTAAAACGTGCACATTTGGTTTCCTCAATTTCCATTGACTCGGC